TGATATTATTTTAACATATTTAATATTTATGCATTTTTAAAATTAGATCTCAATTTTTTAATAACTTATACAACACATAAAAAGTAGTAAATTTTGAAATAAAATATTCTATGCAGGTTTTTAATATGCAGAAAAAAAAAAAAACTCTACCATAAAATAAATTGTTATCTTAATTTTAATTTGTGTGGGGTGAAATATTCTTGAATAAAGTAAGGTGTTATTAATATTTTTAATATTAAAAATTATTAAAAAATAGATATTTTAGATTTTATATTGATATGAGTATAGTATTTTATTGAATAAAATAAATTGTTGTCTACATTTAAATATAATTAGAATTAGAATAACAATTTTGAAATAAAATAAATTGCTTATGTTTTTATTAAAAATTATTTATTTTATCTTTTTTGCTTTCTTTTTTTTTATTCCGTTGTTACACGTGGAATAAAAAATATAGTTATGTATGCTTTTATTATTATAGTTATATATGCATTGATTTTTTTTTTCTTTGTAAGTTGAATGAATTTTAAAAAATGTCATTTTTGAAAAAAGGGATATTTTCATCTAATATATGTAACTTAACGATCAATTAATAATTGAATGGATGAAAATAAAATCTTGAAAGAAGGAAAAATGTTTGTTTTTATTATTATTATTATTATTATTATTATTATTATTATTCTAAAAAAAGTTTATATTAATTTTAAAGATACAAGAGATATATCCATAATCAAAATAATGGTAAAAAAGCAGTGCACCAAAAAAAAAAAGGTAAAGTAACACATTAAACCCTAAATTCTAGGTCTAGGTAGGGATAAAATTTTAAGTAGATTGAGTGCACCACATCATTTATAGTTTGTCTAATAAAAACATAACATTTAAATAATATTAAATATAAATTAATTCTAACATTAATAATAGTAGAAAGAGAAAAGGTAAAAAATTAAGCATAAATTCTATTATAAGAATAAAATCAATTAAAATAATATTATATAAGATTTTATTCAGATTAATTGAAGCATTTTAATTAGATAAACCACAAATAACGTGGTGCACCCAATCTACTTAAGAATTTCTCGTTGGTAGATGTGGAAACAAACTATGTTGAGCTAAATTTTAGCCAAATAGATAGGAGCCCGTATGATAGATTAGAGGTTTGAACTTGTTCTAAAGTTTATATAAATTTTTTTCATGAATTAGCCCTAAGCCTACTTGAAATCTAATATAACCTGAAAGCTTATTTAAAAGTAAGCCTTTTATACATGCTTACATATTAGTTTTAAATGTCTCAAATATGATTTAAGACTATTAAACTCTATATATGTATAACATAATTTATCAATTCCAATGTATAATAATTAAGATGACTTATCAACTACAATACAACAATAAAGTAACAGTATTAAAATTCATATGTAATTTTAATTTGATTAAATCATAACTAGAAATAAAAAAAATAGATTGATTAACAATCAAATAATAAAGGTGATGTGTATGTAAGATATTACATAAAAATATATATGTAAATAGATTGGCCTCTTAAGCAAGTAGGCTAAGCCTTGTAAAAATAAACTTAACCTATTTAACTAAATAAGTCTAATAAAAGGTTTGAACTTACTCTAGGCTTATTTAATAAATAGGTCAAATTAAGCCTAAACTTGGCCAAGCCGTGGGCCCTTGCTTGGGGCTTGGCCTATTTTCATCTTTAGACCCAGAAGCCTCTAAAACTCTAAACTCATTTGTTATGCAATATGCCCCATCTGCATTTGAAAATTGTACAATCTAGCTCCTCTGTCATTCATAAAAATTTATTCTGACATTTAATTGAACAAAAAATGATAAAAAAAAAGACATTTAAATTATAAAGAAAAAGACTAAAAAAATTACAATAAAGGATCTAAAAATTTTAGACAAGAACCAAAAAAATTACACAAAAAATCCAAGAAATTTTTACTAGTCTTTTTCTTTAATTTTTTAGGACCTTTTCTATTATTTTCTGGTTGTTACTAGAAAAAATTAAAATTAGTGATGGACCTTTAGTGATAGATCTCTATTCCATCACTAATTATAGGCATTAGTGATGGAAATTTTGTGAGAGACCAAAATCTATCACTAATTATATAAATTAGTGACAGATATAGGATGTCGTTATATTTTGGTCAAATTTTATAAACTTAGCGACCAATTTAAATCTGCCACTAATTTTTATCACTAAATCTTTATATTAATAAAAAATATTTTTAATTAAAAAATTAGTAAAATGAGTTGAAAAAATTTATAAAAATAAACAATTTATAATATACACAGAAAGTTTCACAAAAAAATTCAAAATGACTAAATTAAATAATTACACAAATAAATTTTCTCTTATTATAAGTAAAATATACAATATAAAATTATATAAAAATAAAAAATACTTTTTAGTTTATTACGTAAATTTAAATATAAAATAAAATTTTAACCATATGAAAATATTTTAATTATAACATAGATAATATAAAATGATATATACAAATATTTATTTTCATAATAAATATTATTTGGTATTAAATAATATATTTATTAACTAATAATATATATTTATGTGTTAGTGTGTGTATATGTTAATATATATTTTTAACATATTTAAATAATAATATATTAAATATATAAAAATACATTTAAGTTAAATATATGTATTTAATTAAGTAATATATATTAAATTTTGTATATTAAAAATGAAAAGTCATCATAACATAACTGGTAAAAGGCACATATGAAAAGAGAGAGATATTAGGTTTGAAACGAGGCAATGTCACATTTAAAGATAATTAAAATTAAAATATATTATTGATATGGCGGTGATGTGACATGGAGGTCTAAGTAGCAATATGACAGTTATAAAATAAATTAGTAATGAAAGTTTATTAATTAGTAACAGATATTTTTTATCACTAAATTGGTGACGGATTCATTTCAGTCACCAAATTAGTGACTCCATATTTGTGACAAAAATTAATGACGAACAATCCATTACTAAATCTAATATTAGTGACCAGTTTTGCTTATTAGTGATGAATTTGTCCATCACTAATTTTTTTCCTTCTAGCAATACTAAGGGTCAAAATTAACTTTTGTTAGTAGCAAGAACTATATTACACCATTTTTAAAAGTTGAGAGAAAATATTAAATAAAAAATAAATTTAGGGTCTCAAATGTTCTTGATCCTATAATTTGAGGTTTAATTTACTCTTTTACACTTAAAATAAAATAGAGAAGAAGGCACTCTATTTTATCTAGAAAATATTTAAACTTTTATTACTAATGTTGTAGCTACTTTTTCATCTCAAATGTTATCCTATTTATTTGTGCTTCCATATAAAACTTCACCTCACTCCTTTTATGCACAATTATTTTTGTAAAGTTATTACCAAAAACATGAATCCACATATTATCCTAGATGACATCACTTTTTAATTAAATTATCAAATTAATTTTTAAATATTTGATTTCTGTAGGCATCTGTGGTCTATTTGATTTGAGGGGATGAAGAAAAGAGGATGAGAGTTCAAACACAGGCTTTTTTTGGCAGCATAACAGTGAATTTTTTAGATTTTTTATATAAATAAATTGCAATTGTTTATATAATTCTATTTTACATGTTGATTTTATTGTTTTTTATAAAACTATAAAATCCATATTTATTTAAAATTTGTTTTTAAAAATTTTAATTTTCCCATGCAGGTGATAAAATCTAGCTATACTTAAAAAAAATAGAAAAGGATATTAATACTTACTTATATTTATAATTATAATTTTTAAACTATATTTAAAATTAATTTTTTTAAAAAATTAAAGTACTTTTCTAGTGTTACTTGTATAGTAGAGATAGAAGATTATAGGACACTTATAATTTTTAAATTATAATTTTGATTCTGTTTATAGGAAATTTGATTATTTTTATATTTGTTTTTATTTTTATACCCTTATTAAATATTATAAAAAGTTATAAAAAATAATCTTTTTGTCCTCATTAAAAATAGATATGGAAATTTATTAAATTTTTAAATATAATTAATGAAATTTAAAATTTTAATTTATTTTTGTAAAATATGCTAATAGTAATTTATAAATAATATTAAAGAAAATAAAAAAAAGAGTACCAAAAAAAAGATTAAAGAAAATAATTTTTAATTTCTTTTTATTTTCCTCGATTCAAGTTTTATGAGAGTGTGACTCAAATCTATTCTGGTCAATTTAGTTTTTATCCAATCTTATCTGGCCAATATGATTTGGACATATAGTTTGACCCAATTTTAGCCGAGTAGAGATGGGCCGATCAAACTATTGGACGAAGAATCTGATGCGCACCAAACTATTTTTTATTTTTAAATCGGGAGTCCTTGAGGACTGAGACGCGAAATTCTTTTTTTTGGACTTTGTCCTCAAATCATTGTACGAATTGTAATAGTAGTTTAATTCAATTTTAATGAGATGATAAAACTTTTAACCTCTTAAATTTTACTTAATTATTAATTTAACTTCTTATATTTTTTAAAGTTATCATATCAATTCTTTAAATTTTAAAATATAAATTAATTTTTAAATTAATGTAACGTATACAATATATTAATAACTTTGCATGTATATATAATTAAATAAAAAAAATTAATTTTAAAATCATTTTAATTTTCATTAATCTAATATCTTTTTTTTTTGACCTTTTTTAAACTTTTTGAGCCTATATTTTTCATATCTAATTAACTATACTTAATTTATACAATTATTATTAATATTCTGTTATTTATTTTAATAAATTTTAATAATGTTATATTATTTTTAGATAATAAAAACAAATTGATAATTGAACCAAATTTAAGGGATTAAATGAAGAAAAATTACATTAAAAATATTAAATTAATAAGGAAGACAAATTAGGTTAAAAATGTGATTATCTCATTTTTACTTTTAATTTTACATGCCGTAACCGCTCCGTTGGGACATCCAATAGCAGTTGAACTGTACGAACCGGATTGTTCTCTCTATAAAATATCTCATTCACGACAGTCCTCCTCGAACTTCTAACTTGGAGCTCTGAAGGTTGGACTTTGAGGTACTTGATTTTTGGCGATTGTTTCTGATCGTTTTCTTTTTTGATAATCGTCCTTTTCTTGTGTGGTTGCATCACTGTGGCTTGGATTTGTGTTGGTAATTTCGTTTTGTCGTGGTTTTCCTTCCTTGACCTCCCTACTGTTTTGGATTTCTTGTACTGGAGTAGAAAATGGAATTGACGAGGAATTATTGTCTTTTCTCATTTGTTGTCTTAGTTTATGATGATCATTTCCTTAACGGCGTTCGGCTTGAAATTTTCTATGGATTCTGCTTTTTTAATATGAAATCGTTGTGAAAATACGCAGGAACAAGATGGAAACTAGGAGTGGACCTGTTGTAGCCAGTCTCTTCATTTTCTTGTGCTTGTTGCCTTCTATATTTTCTTTTTCTGGTGATGGATTGATCAGAATTGGACTGAAAAAGTGGAAATTTGATCAGAACAACCGAGCTGCTGCCCAACTAGAATTTAAGGAGAGACGGTTTTTGAAAGGGTACGTTGAGAATTATCAACATGGGAAATCAGGTTACGGAGAAGATACTGATATTCTGCCTCTTAAGAATTATCTGGATGCTCAATACTTTGGTGAGATTGGCATTGGCAGTCTCCCACAGAAGTTCAAAGTAATATTTGACACTGGCAGTTCCAATTTATGGGTTCCTTCATCTAAATGTTATTTTTCGGTAAGGTCCCATTCTATCAAAGATGAATATTCATTTGAATACTTATCCTACGTTATATAATTTAACAGAATGGTTTCACTGCATCTTGCTGCAGGTTGCTTGCTATTTTCATTCTAGGTACAAGTCTGGGCATTCAAGTACCTATAAGAAGAATGGTAATGTTTCTGAGTTTTCATTCACTTCGATTCGAATTTATTTATTTATTTGTTGTTGTTTAGTTCTTTGAAAAACTTTATCAACTCCAACTAGCATGTGCTCCTGAAGCTGTGGCCTTTGTTCTAAATTCACCATGAGTTAATGTTTTCGTTGTCTTAAAGTGTTATCCTTGAGACTTTCATACATATGTCTCCTAAAATACTGTTGTAAGTGTCAAAAATTACCCTTGATGTGTAAATTCCTCATAACAGAAGATACTTTGGTATCTTGCAGGTAAACCTGCTGACATACGTTATGGAACTGGTGCTATTTCTGGGTTCTTTAGTGAAGACCGTGTGAAACTTGGTGATCTTGTGGTGGAGGATCAGGTAGTAATGGTAAATTGTTTGGTAATACCTGCCTGTGTGTTAGGAATTCAGGTGTTTGATTTCTCTACTGCAATACTTTTCAGGAGTTTATTGAGGCAACGAGGGAGCCTGGTCTCACATTTGTAGCTGCAAAGTTTGATGGCATACTTGGTCTTGGATTTCAAGAGATATCTGTCGGAAATGCAGTACCTGTCTGGTATGATTTCTTGGCATTAAAGTAATAATTAGGCATACATGGCAGGTTTTTTTTATGCTGGTTATAATGACCATAATTCATGAGGTTGATGATGTTTATAAGGAAGTTGGGTCACATTTTTCAATTTGAGATTTCTAACTGGATCAGTGGATCTTCTCCAGGTATAACATGGTTAATCAAGGTCTTGTAAATGAACCTGTTTTCTCTTTTTGGCTTAACCGTAATGCTGATGATGAAGAAGGAGGTGAGATTGTTTTTGGTGGAAAGGACCCTAATCATTACAATGGTGAGCACACATATGTACCAGTGACCAGAAAGGGTTATTGGCAGGTTGTGTTTCTGTCTTCCATCCTAGATATATCATTTCGTGGTTATAACTTACATCTATCCATGTTCATCTTCGAATTCATGTTACTTTTGGTCTTTTTGGCAGTTTGATATGGGTGATGTACTAATTGCTGGTAAATCATCGGGTAAGAAAATCTGAAAGTTGCAATCCATTTAGTTTTCTTATGCATATAAGAACATGTGTTTCTCTAAGAAGTTTTTATTTGATATTACATTGATTGCATTCCTTGATTTAGGATTTTGTGCTGGTGGCTGTTCAGCAATTGCTGATTCTGGAACCTCTTTGTTGGCTGGTCCTACGGTCTCTCTCTCTCTCTTTCTCTCTCTCTCTCTCTCTCTCTCTCTCTCTCTCTGTGCGCGTGTGTTTGTGCATGCGCGCGTGTTGTGCAAGAGAAAACTTTGTCTGGAGCGTGATACTTTATTGCTTAGTGTTCCCAAGTCATGCTAAGGATTTTCACTTGATGTTGATGAAACCTATCAAAAGAATTTGTTTACCAGTGCATATAATTTCCATGAGTCTCAGTCATGTTGTATAATGTTATCCCTTTGTTGCAGGCTATTATTACTGAAGTCAATCATGCAATTGGGGCCACAGGAGTTGTGAGTCAAGAGTGCAAAGCTCTAGTTTTGCAGTATGGAGAAACTATAATAGAGAGGATTCTTGCCAAGGTAGATACTTGGTTTATGACATCTTCTATTTACATTAGTGTCAGTGGTTTCTAACATCTACTGTTTACAACTATCTGTGGTCAACACATGTTGTCTCTGTCAGTTAATGAATCTTCACATCTAGATTGCTAGACTTGCATCTATTTTAAAAATGCAGGATCAACCGGAGAAAATATGCTCACAAATTGGTTTATGCACTTTTGATGGTGTGCAAGGTGTAAGGTTGGATTCTTTCGTAGATATTATTTTGGAATTGATTGACATAACATGTCATGAATATTCTTTAGGAACATCTATTTTTGTCTTTGTAATTAGCATGGGTATCGAGAGTGTTGTTAATGAGAGTGCGGGAAGGGGCCATGGTGGTTTGCGTGATGGCATGTGCTCCACTTGTGAGATGGCAGTGGTATGGATGCAAAACCAGCTTAGGGAGAACCAAACCCAGGAGCGTATACTTAACTATGTTAATGAGGTGAGTGATCATTCCACCTAATTCTTGTAGGCCTTGCATAGGTTATATGCTCGATCTTGTGCTAAATGTTATCTGTCATTGTAGCTTTGTGAACGACTGCCTAGTCCAATGGGTGAATCATCAGTTGACTGTAACAGTTTGGCATCGATGCCTAATATTTCCTTCACAATTGGAGGGAAGATATTTGAACTCACTCCTGAGCAGGTGCAGCAATTTCCAATTCTTTTCTGTAAATTATTTTACCAATAAAGGATGCATCTTGTTAGACTTCTTTTTGCTAAAAAATGGTGGCTTAGAACCTTGGTTTGTCTGGTTTTGGGGTTCGGTATGGGCGCAAATAGAAGGTCAAAACATTGGCTTCCCTCTTTCTGAAAAGAGAAGCAAAAACCAACACAAAGGGACTGGCTTACTTGTGGAGAGGCATGCTAAGGCCGTAAGGCGTGATTTTATAAAGAACACACTACATTGGATTTCGTAAGGCATGATTTTATACCATCTAAGAATACTCTGCTCTGGATAGGTGTAGTTAATTGTGGCTGTAGGACTAGGAGACATAACCCGTGAGGAGGTGTCTATTGGAAGGGTTTAGTCAAACTGCGCCTCACTTGGCTTTAATTATCCTTTCGGTCCACTTAGTAGGTCTCTGGCTGCTAAGTCAAGTACTCAAGCATGCAACTTGTGATTTCCTTGATAATAGTAATATTCTTTGAATATGGAAATTTGGATTTCTTAAGACTCGGCAAAATATCTCTTCTCTCATTCTGTTTTTGTTGGTCTCTTAAAATCAGTATGTCCTCAAAGTTGGTGAAGGAGACGTAGCTCAGTGCGTTAGTGGATTTATTGCCATGGATGTTCCGCCCCCACGTGGGCCTCTCTGGTATGTGCCCTACAATCGGTTCCCCTGTTATTTAATTCAATATTTAGTTTTAACATGATTGCCTTTGATGGGTAGAAGGTCATTAGCTAATGATTGTTCTATTATGCTATGCTATGCAGGATCCTGGGTGACGTTTTTATGGGTACATACCATACAGTATTTGACTATGGAAATCTGAGAATTGGGTTTGCAGAAGCTGCTTGAGTGCACCTCTTATACTCATCTCAGTTTCTTGGCAGTTCATATCGTCATGTAAGAGTGCTCCTTTGTATAAATTATGGGTAATAACTACTAGAAAACACACCCCACATGACCTCTTTATCTAGTCCAATGTTATAACCACTATCAAAGAAAAAGAAAACTAGTCGGATTACTTACTTTCATAGCAAGTACAAGGCAGAACACTCTGTTTATTGTGTGCCTTGTAAACTGGTGCGTATATGGTATGTCATTATGTGAGTATAGAAGGGAACGAATATTGAAAATGATGGATAACGGGTGGCCTTGAGCTTGTATTGGTTGAGAGTGTCTCCCACTCACAAGCCGCATAGGATATGTTTAGTTGAGTACTTTAAAGTGTGGTGGCATGATAATCTGTGTTGAATTGTGTTGTGATATATGCAAAACACTGGTAAAATCACGACACAGTATTTCACAATGTCGGTTTTGGTTGCCGTTTAGAAGTGGAGGTGATTGAAATTTTGAAAACGATTGGGAATTGCGTATGGGTCCCATTTTACATTTTTTTGCATTAATATTAACCATTAATTGCACAGAAATCAAAGTTACTCTTTCAACCGTTATTAATTATTAAAATTATCAAATCATGTAATTATTTAGTAAAGTAATATTTTACATTGATATTGAATGTGTTACAAGCCGGGGGTTTGAAAATTTTTATGACATATTATCACTCTATTTCTCCTCCATTTATATGTTTTCTAGTTTCGAGTACAATAATAAGTTTATTTTCTAATTTGACTGTTGAAATGTTGCGTGTTTAATTATTGATCTTTTTTTCACTTTCAATTTTTAATTATCTTGTTTTGATTTTTGCCCGCTCAAATAAATCCTCTTCCTACCCTTGGTTGACGTAAGGTTTCGAGGTTTGGCTCATCCAAATATATACCTAAATGAGTTTAAAACAATATTTATTTCATAAACTATTATTGCTTGCTTTTTAATTCAACTTTCCAGTTATACTTTCCTAAAAATCAATCTAAAAATTATGTAAACTTTATTTTACCAATTATATTTTTTAATTTATAATTGATTTTAACATGTATGACAAGTGTTTGTATATTTAAAAAAAATCATAATTATGAGTTTATAATTGATTTTGGTATGTAAAATAGGTCTATGGATATTTTTTGAAAAAACATATAATTTTGGATTTATATTTGATTTTAACATATAATGAGGTTGTTTGGATATATTTTTATTAAATTATGATTTTGGATTCTAAATTTGATTATAGAGGTTATCCAAATATGCTTTTAAAATTCATGTAAAACATCAATTACTTCACAGAACGATTATATCTCCATTGATAGAACATATCTAAACTTTGTTCCACATATTTTCTTCCTTAACAGTAAAATAACAGCTGAAATAAGCAAACTTTAGAGTGCAACATCACTCACTTATTCATTTCAATTAGTGACAATCAACAAATTTGCAGTAACCTACACACACACACACAAAATAATGAATTTTGGCATTTTCTTTGTTCAGTTACTTAGCCTTTTGCTTCTTTGTTTCCTCTGACTTTTTGCTCTTGGGCTGTTCATGATTGTGGTTAAAAATCTTTTCTAGTTCCAAGCTTCTCCTCAGAGTAGTAATCTCTCTGATGTAGTAATGCAATCTGTCTATCACCAATGCAAGGAACAGAGAGAACCCTGCAAAATTGATTCTCCTTATATTTGCTACTTCAATTCAATAGGCTCATGAATATGACATATATGGGGGAATGATAATAGTAAATTTGACCATTTGATACGCTAATCGATTATTGTTAGGCTTAACTAAAAGCAATTTTTATAAGATTTTTTTTCACATAAAAAAGCATGTTTAATAGACCTAAATTTTATTTCATTTGATCTGATTGTTGGTTCTCATGACACGAGATTATTCGTACGAGAGTAATTTTTGGGAATTGTCTTTTGCTCTCCCCCCCCCTTTTTGAAGCACATTAATTTCTTTTTAAAATTTTGAAACTTACGCATTTTTTTTTTATGAAAATGAACAAGTAAATTATACTGGTTTTCTTTTGATTATGTCAAAAATGAAAAAAAAAAATCCATTTTCATGTTTAAACTTACAAAAAAAGTTTACCAAAAAATGAAAGTAAAATATGCAAACCTCTCACAGTTTTCTTAAAGATATGCAAATAATTTTAAAAATATATAGAGTTCTCCAGAAGAAACTTTTTTTTAGAGAACTCTGTATGTATTATGGCTAAAAGACATACATAGAGTGCTATTAAAAAAAATTCTAGAGAACTATATGTATGTTTTTCTTTAGCCATAATATTGTTTGGGAAAAGCAAATGCATTTGATCAAAGGGCATTGATCTTGATGAAAAGAGTTATGGTTATTTAAGCACGAGGTTTTAAACTTGAGTTTGTGAATGTGGAAAACACTTTTGAGAAAAATATCTTCAATTAAATTTGATAATGTTTGAGTCTGACCCAATCTGTTAACTATATTTTGAAAAAAAAAAAAACCAGAGAGAGAGAGAGGGGTTTGTTTTACCCATTAGAGCAACTTCCAATAGATGTTGAGCTATGAGAACTTCATCGGTGTGGCCGAGAACACCAGTTTCGTGAACGCGCTTTTGAACGTTGGTTAACGTGTAAAGCGCAGAGCCAAACACCACAAGCATGGTTGCCGCCACTGTCTTGGTAACCAACGGTCCTCTTCCTTGCTTCAACGCATCAAGCCCCTTCACCATCACTTTCCTTATCGGACTCCCAAACGACATCGTCATGACCACCGCCATTTCCACCATCACAAGACCAAACAAAGGCTGTATCATCTTTAATTTGCACCAGAACGTGGTTCAATGACCCTGTCAATTATTATTATGTACGATGAAGGAGGAAAATAACGATCAGGAGAGATTTTGAAAGAAAAGTTCTTCTGAGTATGTCTCTGTTTTTGTTTGGGTCTTCTTTAATGCTTTTGAGGGAGGTTGACGAAGAATTTTCTGTTGTGCTTTACGTGAACACGTGAAGCAGAGAATATGGGGAATTAGCTGAACAAGTTTGATGAGAATCTATGCTGCCCGCCTCGATAAGCGTAACAGGGTGCTCTCTCTTTTCCAAAACTAGCTTTCACCACCGGTGCGTTGCACGGAAAGTATTAACTAATTAGATATTAATAATATTTAATGATTATATTTCATCTAAATGTATAATTAATTTTTCTTGCATTGCCATAAATCTCTGAAATACAATGGACTAATCATACAATATTTATGAAAATAATAAGGAGATTTATTTCAATATTAGTAAGAGCACCAAATATAGGAGTTATTGTAATATCTAGAGTCAATATAATACCCCATGTTTTGTAAAATAAATAAAATAAAAATTCATGAGATGGTTTTAGATAATCTATTAAAGAATTCAAATTATACAATGTTATATGAAGACAATTATAACTGTAAGAAGCATAACACAGAAAAACTCATTTCAATACTACTAAATATTTGATGAAAGAATTTCAATAAAAAAGTAAAACATGTTTTATGAGAAGAGAAAAGAATAATCCTATATTCATAAATTGAAAAGTCACATTAATGCATTAATTTATTGCTACCACTTGGCCAAAAAGCTAATAGGTAGTATATCATAACTACAATGACCAATCACACGTTTCAATAGACCTTCCATGCTTTCTTTCATTTGTGGATAAGTTTAGATAGTAGCAATGTGACTTTGAGATTAAAAAATCATGGCTAAAAATTAAAATAATATATTATAAAAATGACATTAAATGAAAGAAGAGAAAGCTAGCAAACAGCAGAAACAAACTGACACCCTATATAAGCATGTCAACATCCTATCATGAGCTCTAATTTTAATTATGTAGATTGTAAAAGAATTTCAATTAAGGTCAATGACATTATCTTTATCTCAAAAAAAAAAACTAATAAATAACTTTATCCTCAGCCCAAATATTAAACCTCCAAACAAACTGATTTGATTCATTGTCGCATAAAACTATTACTTGATCTTCATTCTCACATCCTTCAACACAGATTCGAACATAATTAGAGGAAGAAATCAAGGTCTCTGGGATTTGCCTCAGTTTGGCTTTGAGCTTCTCGAGCTGCAATGCACTCACAATCTTCCTCACCTCCTTCACAGAAATTGTGTACAGTGGATCAATTGTGAAAGCAATGGTGGGAGCCGGCGGTGGGAGCGAAGAAAGGCTAGCTAGAGAAGAAAGGCTTCGAAGGAAAGAAAAGAGGAAGACAAGTGAAAAAGGTAGGGAGCCGAGTGAAATTTCGAGAAATGAAAAAAAAAAAAAAGAAAAAGCGCCAGTTGAGGCAAACCTCTAGTGAAATGGCTAAAGTTTTTTTTTTTTTTTTTATTCAAGGAAGAGAGAATTGAATGGGTATTTGACAGGTGTTGATTGACCAAAGTAATGAATAAAAAAGAGGATGACAGCCAAAGCAGGAGAAACAAAAGGAGGAGGATAATAGCTTTGCCCAAGAGTTGATAGATCGAACTAATGAATAAAAAAATGAAATTCACAATAAAATAAGTAATTTTAATAATAAAAAATAATAGAGTCAAACATTTAAAATGCCCTTGCCTTGGTACACTATTATTGGTGCACGTTTTAAAATGCCAAAACTACCCTAATTACTGTTTATAAGGAGGAATTCAGTGGAACAAATTTAAGTGATATATTGATATAAAATAACATTGAAAGAATTTTATCATCCTAAAATGTAAAACAATTTAATAAAAAAATAAAGTTTTATTAATAATATTTTTTTAATATTATTCTTTAAGTGGAGAGAGAATTTAAATGATCATACATATATTTTTAAAATTATTTTAAATGAAGGATATTTTTAATTTATATTTTTATTTTAAAAAAGTAAGTTTGTAAAGTTTTATTAATATGTATAATCTTGTCTTTGTCTTATAATTTGAGATAAAGGGGATATCACATATCCGCCATTCACAATAATGTGAACTAATCTTTCAGAAAATAAAAATATTTCAAGTACAGCTTCCATCATGAACCATGTAATAAAAGTACTTTCGGATATTGGTTGTTTATTAAAAAAAAAAAAAAGAAGTACTTGAGAAATACCAACAGCAGCGACGAGGATTTGCGGACCTGTTTGTGGATATTTTTCTAGAATTAATTATACTGTTCAAAATCATAATTTTGAAAAAATTTATCTAAACATTCCCAATTTTTTCAAACTCAATTTTACATAATCTATTTTTTCTTGAAAAAATTGTCATAAAAGACTCCAACACAAAATTAATTGCTGAAAATGAGTTGGGAGAGATTTAAGACTGAGGTCAATCCTTTGTTGGCAATAATCTTTTAGGACTAAATGATAAAAATGTCCTTGATGATTAAAAAAAAAAAAAGCAAAAGTTGAATAGGGTTTTGTGTTGACAACATTTTGCACAAGGTAGTTTACTATCAATAGTCACAAGGTTCTTCACTATCAATATGTCACAAGTCTTTCATTGTCAATAATTTTATGTAACACTTAATACAAGGCCTTTAATGTCAATATGTCAATTTGGAATACTAAAAGTGAGGATCTTCAATCAAGTGCAACTATTCTTTCACTATATGCATTTGAACTTCAATTATATGAAAAAAAAACTTCCATTTATTCAAATAATATTTTTTGATATTTTGAGAATTCTTAACTTAAATGAATACCACATGTTGTTATTCGAATAACACAAATACATATTTTTAATTTTTTTATGAAAACATTAAAGAATATTCTGAAAATACATATAAATATTCTGTATACTAGAAGTAAGGGTCTTCAATCATATGCAGTGATTCTTCCATTATATGTAGTTAAATTTTAATTATATGTAAGAAAACTTTCATTTATTCAAATAACAACTTTTGATATTCTAAAAATTCTTAACTTAGAAGCATTCTGGAATAGTAAAAGCTAGGATTTTTAGTCATATGCAACAATTTTTCTACTATATGCATTTCAACTTCAATTATTTGTAAAAAAAAAAAACTTCCATTTATTCAAATAATAACTTTTAATATTTGTAAAATTCTTAACTTGGAATCATTCTGAAATACTAGAAGCAAGGGTTTTTGGTCATATGATATAATTCTTTCATTATATGCATTTGAATTTTAATTATATGTAAGAAAATTTTTATTTATTCAAATAATATCTTTTGATATTCTGAAAATTTTTAACTTAGATGAATATCACATGTTGTTATTCAAATATCACAAATGCATATTTTGAAATTTTTTTCATGAAAACACAAAATGATATTTTGAAAATACAAATGGTTGTTCTAAAAACATAAATGGTTATTTTAAAAACACATGGTTATTCTGAAAACACATGAATATTTTGAAAACGTAAATGATTATTCTGAAAATGCATGTGGATATTCTAAAAAAGCAAATGGCTATTCTAAAAATTTTCTCTTTTTTCTTAAAAAGACATATGGATATTTTGAAAAATATACATCCTTAGAATATTAGGCATGCAAAAATATTGGAGAGAAATACAAATTATAAATTGATGAATAAGTTCATTAACATTGAATTAATGCAAGCTTGTACATCTCATATGGATTTTGCAACAATTACAATTTATTAGTCACAACTCTCAAAACATCAAAGCAAAACATAAGTTGCCATCTAATACAAACTTTTACATCTCTTGGATGATTTTTCATGTACAAGTTATCCCTATAAGCTAATGCAATTACAAAGCAATAAATTATATCTTGTAGAAGTTCTCTTTTGTAACTTGTTCTTGTCCATAAGGTCTATGCTCAATAAATTTCTATGATTGAAATTCTCCTCAAGAAACTTAGAATGAACATCTTTTAAGATATTTATAAAGGTGGTAGGATGTAGAGACTTTTCACCTAGATTCAACAAGTCTAATATATGTTATATATACAATTATGTAGGAATAGTCTTAAAAGACCTTCAGTTCTTTTACTTCCTTTGATCCATTTTCTTCCTCCAAAGTCTAAAAAATGAAGAGATAAAAAATCTAACTAGTAGGCTTATGGTTGAGTTACTTTTCAATGAAATGGTCTTCACTTGATCAGGTACAATGATTCCTATTCCAGCAAAATATTCTTTCACATTTTTAATAGGATCATGATATGCAATAAAACCATCTTTGGCTAGAAATACAATATCATCAAACATTTTGAACAAAGTATAGCTATATCACAACAAAATCAGCATAAATATTAGATTTTGGAAGAGCATATATATTTGATTATCAAGGTATGCTGATTTCCTACTAGGTCATAAGTGTAGGATACGTGTATATAAGCCATGAAGGTTTTTTTTTTTTTAAAAAAGAACCTTTTGGGGTAGAGAGATTGAGTGAATTTAATCACTTCACAATCAAATTAAATGGTTTAATGAAGTATTTTTGCTTCTAAGCTAGATTGCTGTTCATGTATGGCAAAGTTGAAGTTTGAACCTAATGTAGTTGTGCAAGTAACTTTTAATCAATTTTTACATAATTCATGCTAATCAAATTTCACAAACATAAAGATTGTATATGAAAACATTGCATTTGAAGCATTTCAAATCAAACTAGAAGAATACAATTAGTAATCTCTTACTAGCTAAAAATATACCCTCCAAATCTCACAACTTTTCTAGACTTGATATTAGACATGAATATAGATGCAATAAATACATACCTTCCCAAATAGTGCATCTTAACAATGATAATGTCCTGGTAATGATAGTCACAGGTTGCAAAACCCTCATATCTAAAATGAAAAAGGGGAAGCAAATAAAAGAATGCCCAAACCAATGCTACAATATTGTGAGAAGGTTCAATGATATGAAAAATATGCACTCTCATGAAGATTGCAAAGTAGAAGCCATGAGTCCATGACAAACAAAGATGATAAAGGATGATGACTGGAGTAGAGAGGATTTTAAAGTTCAAAGAATTCAAAGTAGGCGATACACTATTGAGATAAGAGTTAGAAAGAAGGCAAGTGAAAGTCACATGTCACGATCGACCTCACCTTACTCTCTGTCATCGCCATTGCCATCGAAATTACAATCGGCCAGAATAATGTACAGGAAATCACACAAGATGGGAGCAAGAGAGAGGGAGAGGGAGAAAATTTGGAGAGGATAATTTAGTCATTTGTAGTTCTTGTTTAATGACAATGAAGGACCTAACATCTCAAGTCTCTTCTAGCAAATGAAATATGGTTAAGTCTTTTTAGGCAATTTTCCCATTTTTCTTTTATTTAGTAGATATTAGAAAAAAATTATTCAAATATCATCACATTCTGGTAATTAATTTTTTCATTGAAATCTAAACACACCCATAAGTTATATAAATGACGCCCCTTGTTATTTTTTTATGAAGTAGGGGAAGTTGATGTATATGTGTGTATATTTATATATTTGTACATATACATACTATGTATATTTTTTTGGATGGTGATGGGGTTGGAGAAGAAGTTGGAAGTATATGTAAATCATCCTCTTCGTTGTCTCCACGTCAATAAATGTATGCATTTATCATCAATAGAGGCTTTTGCTGTTTAGAGATACATTTCATGAAAATTAGTATGATATATTCCCATAATCTGTCTTATTTATATAAAATAATAAATATTTCAAATCATGTAAGTTCTTAACAATAATCTAATCAATAGATAACAAATTAAGTGCTAATTAAACGTATTTACACATATTGGATTAGTTGATATCACATTCATATAAGAATTAAATTTAAGATTAGTGAAAAGGGTTAATGAGCATCCCAGACCTTTAGTATTACACGAAAAGCGCTTTAGACCCTAAACTCTTAAAATGTGTAAAATGAATCCTAAACTTTTAAATTCATAACAAATTAAATCATATTGTTATCTTTTTGTTAACATCATTATTAGTTACTATGCTATTCACCATGGGGCCCAATTTGATATGGAGTCCCTTGTTTATGTATCATTTGTTAATTAGAGCAACAGACTCTAAACTATTGCGAGAATAGCATTCTAAACCTTAAACTTTAAAATTTTAAGTAACTTACTCTCACTATTTATGCACAGAATATTAACTAGTAGGTAAAACAAATTAATTTAAGCGTGGTCTGCCACGATGGACTCATCATGGTAGAAGATTGAGCAAGGTCACTCTACATGAGACAAAAATAGAGGTGAAGTCTATGCAGTGAAGTGTATAAAATCTAAACAAATGAAATTAATTTAATCACAGGAACACATCAAAGATATAATAATAAAGGTAAGTAAAAAGAAAAAAAAGTTGAATGACAAAAGCTAGAGAAGTCAAGGCCTTCAAGAGTTCTTTATTCAGTACAAATCAATGCTGTATACAATATCCACAAAGAAAGATGGCACTGCATATTAGAAGCTTTGTGCAAAGGTGAAAAGGGCCAATGCATATTTAATAGAATCTTCACATGAAAACGACAGGCTAATCCACAAAATGGATTAGTAGATGATTGCAAATTTAGAGGTCATGCTTCACTAAGGAAAAATACTCTGGAAGCCGTTCTATTCAAAATGGCTTTAAGTTCGATTAAAGGGAAGAGCTTGGATTCAATTTTTTTTTTTTATGAATAGTCAAAAGATGTAATTTTGTTTATGCAGATTGTCAATCATTAAGAGAAAATGCATGTCTTCATCAAAATTTCTTAACTTAGTGTCTACAAGAGCACCATAGCTCTGACCTTTAAGATGTGTTTTCACTTTAACGACGAAAACACAAAACCATGTGCAAACAACCAACTTTAATTGTGAGCAGAAATGGAGGTGATAATGTATCATTTCCTCATTTCTACTACCATATGTGGTGCCTGACAAAACCCAGAAGAGATGATTAAGCAGAGCATTAACCACCCCCTTCCTTCTGAACTTTTTCCTTACTATAAAGAAAGAGTGAATAAAAGGAGTTTTTCCTCTCTAATTTCCATCAATGCAGCACAAAGAAAAGATGAACCCACTGAGAGTTCACATTAGAAATTAAAAAAGAAATGGAAGAAAGACCATAGAACATGACACTATCACGATGAAAATTTATTTCCGCTTACACGCTATACGTCTTTCCTTTTCTCATGCTTTTCTAGATCAGGAACATAAAGCCAACTCTAGTTGTTTCCACTTGCCTATGAGGAAACATTATGGAGGGATGAACAAATGAATGCATAGACAGAGATTGCAAGTGAATTCAATTCTGTCATCATTCACCCTATCGACATTGTAAATCGGTGAGAAACTAAAGACTATGAATGATATAAACAAATGGTCGTGCAATTAAGCACAAACTTAACGGGGTCAACAAAAGCATAGTTTAATATTAAATAAAATGGAGGACGAAAAGGGAAGCTACATTGAAGCATTGGGCTTATGGGTTTTACAGTACTCATCGAGTTATTAAAGCCCTTGAGATAAATTCTAGAGATAATTGACATTCAAAAGAAACTCTCTAGTTTTTGATTTAATCTGGCCAACAATCTTGATTAAAAGGATCGTCTACAGAAACTAAAAAGATGAAAACAACTTGAAACGAAGGCACCAGAATTCTGAAGTGGAGATCCTAGGTGTAACGACAATCTTAACACAAAGGACTCAAAACAGAAAAACAATGCATGCATTGGAACCTCCACCTAGCAACCACATAAATGGACACAACGAACTCAAATTTAAATTTGGAGCATATTAGGGGAAGAAAAAAAAAAACTGAAGACTAATCAATCACAAGGTGGGAAAGACAACTTGAGACCCTAGGGAATCACCCACCGGTGACCCTACTAATGCAAGCGACAATCACCACCAAAGAAAAAGACACAGGCTAGTTCCCGTACTATCCATTTAGCCTTAAGCAAGGTTTTAAAAATGGGACCAGATCGGCCGATTCAACCAATTGAATTGGGAACCGGCTCTTGATCCGATTCAGTTGACCCCTAACAACTGGTTATTATGGAACCAGTCAACAATCGGACCGGTTCCCATGAGAAAACCGGACAGAATTTAAAAAATAAAAAAATAAATTAAAATTAAAATTAAAATAAATCTTTCTCGATATTTAAATGAAAAGCTTCACTTATAATTAATATTAATTATGTATTTATCAATAATAAATTATATTACCAAGCATTTATAATATATTTTTAGAAAAAATACATATTTAAATGTATTTTCTATTTAATTATGATACATAAATTAAAAATATATTAATTTAATGTCAACAGGTTTAACCCTGGTTAAATCACGATTCGACTAATGAACCGTGAACCAATATCTTATTCGGTTCAATAATCGATCCGGTTTTTAAAATTTTGACCTTTAAGACATTGAGAACAAGGAAAAAAGCCAAGAGGAAAAATGGCACAAGCCGGTTCCCTGGCAGCGAAAACCTGAAGGACATTTCGGCCCTCTAACAATGGCCAAAGTTGACTATACATGCCATGCGACTATTCTCGAACACGTGTCAAGCTTCATTGACAACGTACACAATGTGACGACTTCCCTTACAAGGCACCCCCCCCCCCCCAACGGATAACTCAAGAATGGATCCAGTTACAATGGGAAACGAACCAAGCTTTGTAGTGTTCAAGTATTGTAGCTGGTTTTCTAAAGTTTAGATAGGAACTTAATAATGATGATTATTGTGCCATCAGCAAACCAACAAATAGAGCTAGAGGACGGCCTATTGAGTTGCCCACACACACACATATATATGTATGCATGTATATATTTTTAAATTAAATTAAATAAAAATAATGCTTTGATTTTTATTAAAGGGTGTCTTCTATAAAAAAAATTTTGATCCTTAATATAAGCCACTGGATGAAATATTAATAATATTTTTTTAATATTATCCCTATTTAAATTCATTAATTATTATGAGAGAGAATATAATACAAATTTTAAAAAATTTCATCTAAGTGTAAATAAAATTAAAAGTCTATTCTATTTTTAGGTAAATTTAATGGCTTAATCATCTCTCCTTTAATCTAGTAAGACGGTTAGATGTGGCTTATAATATAAATATGAGTATATATTTGCTACACATGAACCATAAAAAAATGACATGATTTTGCCCATCGATCCTAAGAAGAGTACAAAAATCTCTAATGCGTTATGACTATGAATGTCAAACATGAAAATATGTATGTTCTAGTTCGTTCTAATTGGTAGAAATTAATCCTATGCACAGCTTTTTATTTTATCATGCATCAAGGCTACATAATAAAATAAAATATTGCTAGTTAAAATAAATTTAAACACATGTATTTTTTATTTATTACTCTTCAAGTCAAATAAATTGATGATTTTTGCATCACTTTTTAGGTTTTATGTGCAAAATTGCACCGTAGAATCATATATGATGGATATCTTTGCATTAACCCATTTACATGTAATATAATAAGTGAGATTTACCATCCTTACTTAACAGACATTTGACTTTCATTACGAATTGAGGATTTTTGAACAGTCATCAAGAGTTCAAAAGTAAAATCCTACCATACTTAATTTAAAAAAAATGCAAGTAACTCCTCACAAAATTATCTAGTGGTGGTGATACAACCTAACTCTATATTCTAGTTCTAATTCTAATTTCCCTCCAATCTAAAATATAAATATTTTATTTCAATTAATATTAATTTAAAATATAAAATAACCTAATGCATGTAAATATTTTTTAACTATTTGACTCTTTTTATTTATTAATATAAATTTTTGTATAAATTTATTTCTCAACCATTATGTTGATAATTGAAATTAAGAATTTTATTGCCAGAAGTTTATTGAAACTGTTTATATTTGAGAGAAAGTAAGGCCCAAGCTCGGCTTAGCTTGATCGCGTGTGTTTGGAGCACCAGTGTCAGACAATAGACAGAAGGTAATTCAGTTCAGATTCTCGCATACTAGGGGAGGAAGCAGAGGGTCAGAATAGAAACCATCAATGGAGGCGGCGCCGCCGTTCGCCTCTGGTCAGCGTCCCGGCTCACTTGCATCGCCGTCCTCATTGTCCTTTTTCCGTAGCTCTTCTTCTTCTCTCTTGCTTCTTCGGGGTAATGTTTCTATGAGAAATCGTTCTCATTATGCCAATGTCAAATACTCCAGAAACTTCTCAGTTCGTGCCTCCTCTTTAGCTGACTCTGGTTTGCTCTCTTCCTAGAAATGCCTACGTCAAGTTCTTAATGGATTCTGTTTCTTCAATCTCCCCATTCATGATTTGTTTTCTTTTCCTTCTGGCTTAGTTGTAACTGTGCTTGATTATGGCGCTGGCAATGTTCGAAGTGTTAGGAATGCTATCCGCCATCTTGGATTTGACATTAAAGATGTAATGTCTTTTTGCTGGATTTTCGCGCTTTACGTTTGATTGAGATAGTTGAATATGCTATACGCTATACGATGGTTTGCATATCATGAATTTCTTGAATTTGAAACGAAACAACTTTATTTATTAGGTGCAAACTCCCGAAGACATTTTGAAAGCCAACCGCTTAATCTTTCCAGGTGTTGGAGCATTTGCCCCTGCAATGGAAGTGCTAAACAAGACTGGGTAATTTTTAAACGATACCGCTTTCATTTTTTGATATATAATCATTACGTACGTTGGTAACATGGAAGAAAAAAAGCGTTCGTCCTGCTCTGTAATTGAGTTTCTTTAATGATTGGTGTACTAGAACTGCAATTACGTTGTTTTGATACTTTATGTGAGATCAATTGAGTTAACTATTTTTATTTTCCAATGGAAGTTGGATACTTTCATTTTTCTTTCCCAGTTTCAATAGATTCATGTTAATATTTTGCAGGATGGCTGAGGCACTATGTTCATATATTGAGAAAGATCGCCCATTTTTAGGCATCTGTCTTGGACTTCAGCTGCTTTTTGAATCTAGTGAGGAGAATGGACCAAGTCAGTTATACACTCTTCTTTTATTATTTCGTCTTTATGTGGCATGAGCTTTTGTTATAACAGTTTCCTTTTCAATTATTGATAATTCACCATCTATGTTACTACTGTGGCCTATATGATTTTGATATTTGTTGATATAGAATTAGAATGAAACTAGGCCACTAGAAGTGAGAATCAAGTAGTTCGCAGGATGTCAAAAGTTGTGATGAACCAGAAGAAAGGAATGTTAGTGAAAGATCAAGGCATTTATTTAAATGTATGCATATCATATTTCAACACTATCATTTGTTTGCTTTGCCAAATGACAATTCATAATCTAACACGTTCAAAAGTTTTACTGGTCTAGCATTTATTCGGTTTGTATTAGAACTATTGTCAGCGTTTAGTGGTGGATAAGATCAAGGCAATTACAATGCTGGTTGTGGCTGTGTAGACTGCTGCATTGTCTCAAAATATTCTTTTACCATAATTGTCAGTCGTGTTTTTGTTTTGTTTTTGGCTTTTTTAGAGAGAGAATTGGGCAATAGATAAATATCTGTATAAGTAGTTTAAACTAAATTTCTCAAACGTGCAAAAGATTAATGTGGGAGAAAAGGCCCTCTAATTTTAATTATTTCATCAAATGTCCAGCGCATTGTGCATGCAAATTTTTAATCATTTATAATGCTTCTTGTCACTAATTTTTGAATCAACAACTGTGTTTCTGCCTCAGTAAAGGGTCTTGGTCTAATACCTGGAACTGTCGGGCAATTTGACTCATCAAATGGTTTTAGTGTTCCACATATTGGCTGGAATGCCCTACAAGCGACAACGGACTCAGAAATTCTTGATGATGTTGGAAACCATCATGTCTATTTTGTGCACTCTTATCGTGCAATGCCTGTATATTTCTTCTTTCCTATTTGTTATTTTTGTTGTGTTTTTGTTCATTATTGGCCTTTGTTAAAGTAACTTATTTATTTTTTATATTAACTCAGTCAGAAAAAAATAAAGAGTGGGTATCTTCCACTTGCAATTATGGTGACAATTTTATAGCATCTATTAGAAGAGGAAATGTGCATGCAGTTCAGTTCCATCCTGAAAAGAGCGGAGGCAAGTTTTTATCTTCTCTCTAATAATTTATTTTCTGTTTCCTTTGTGGAGTAATGTGCATTGGATAACGAGACTTTTCAATGTTTTGTAACTAAATGTTGGTCATGCAGGAGAGAAATTAAAGGATCCCATATTTTGTCTTTGAAGTAATAAATTAGAAGTGTATCTAATTCTGTAATCTGTAGAAACCTCTTTGGAGGCCTCATTGACTCAGAACAATGAAATGAAAAGGAAAATGAGGGGAGATATCTACTTTGATTTGAAATTAAAATTTTACTTTAGCCTTTGATTTTCTCAGTTCTTAAGTTTTGAGTTGTTTATCCACTGATTCCTGAGATTGAAGTTTACAGATGTTGGTCTTTCTGTTTTAAGAAGATTCTTGAATCCAAATTCAAACAGGACAAAGGTGGCTTTTATGCTATTCTAAATTTGTCCATTGCAGAAATCAATTCTATTACTATCAATTTTACCTCAGGTTGGCTAACCATCTGTAATGTTCATCTGATGACAGAAGGCTGGTGGAGGGAAGGCTTCAAAACTAGCGAAAAGGGTATGGTCATGGAAGCCTGTATCATGTTTTTGTAGCCATTCTTGGGTTAACGTCTTCTTCAGACCTGTCTACTTTATTTTCTGGCTTTGACAATTACATTCTGATTTCAGTTTCTTTTTACTTATTTATTTTTTAAGGGCTTTTCTTCTTTTGAAGGGGGAGTGGGGTCAGTGTGATAATGACACTATTTTTATTTGGTTTTCTAACAAGAAGTTATCTGTCAAGGTGATCGCTTGCCTTGATGTGAGGGCAAATGATAAGGGGGACCTTGTTGTAACCAAAGGGGACCAGTATGATGTAAGAGAACAAACAAAGGAGAAAGAGGTATTTTAGATAATGTTAATTTTATTTTTATTGGGTTGTTTATAATAAAGCATTAGACATTACCTGTGCTGCACAAAGCCACAAACTAGTCATGAGGATAAGTATTTAAACTAACGAAACCAAACATGATGATGTTTATTATTTAATAAATTGATTAAATTTTTGTTCTATTCTATGATTTCATTAATCAACCCTTCCATCAGTGATGTCTTTTACTGGTTGAAGTTTTAAACTCATTCTCTCCTTAGCTATCAGCATTCACCACTACAAAATCAAATGTTTTGATGATTTTTTCCCGTTAGTCAACACTGTTACTTTGGTCATCTAATAGTATTATTTTAATTGCTAGGTAAGAAATCTTGGCAAGCCTGTTGAGCTTGCCAGACAGTACTACAAAGATGGAGCTGATGAGGTATGCCTTCAGAATTTCTGCTCTTTACTCTTACTATGAACCATGTTATTTAGACTTATATATTCCTGGGGTTGCAGATCAGCTTTCTAAACATTACTGGTTTTCGAGACTTCCCTCTTGGTGATTTGCCAATGTTGCAGGTTTGTCAATCACACCAGAAAGGAAGTTTCTGTGTATGTTTGTGCACGAATAGAATATATGTTACATATTTCCAATATTTACTTTGAATTTTATGTGTTCTGTGCTTCATAGGTATTGCGATATACATCAGAAAATGTTTTTGTGCCCTTAACAGTTGGGGGTGGAATTAGAGATTTTACAGATTCAAATGGCAGGTATTGTATCAGTCACTATGGTGATTGTAGTTGTATAATTTTAACTTTCGTGTGAGAGTTTTATCTAAAGGATGTAAAGGTCCTTAGCCTTATCTTTATTTGTTTACTTAGAATGTTAATTGAGCGTTATATCCTAAAACTATGTTCCCAGGCACTATTCTAGTTTGGAAGTTGCTTCAGAATATTTTAGATCTGGAGCTGATAAGATTTCTATTGGAAGTGATGCAGTTTATGCTGCAGAAGAGTATTTAAGAACTGGAGTATGGAATTTTAACCCAGTTTTTTTTTTAAACAAATATGGGCTAATAATTTTGTTTGTACGTACGTATGTATCTCTTCTGATACTAAGGATATATCATTTAGGTAAAATCTGGGAAGAGCAGCTTAGAACAGATATCTAGAGTATATGGGAATCAGGTAATTCTACTGTTGGCAGCATTTATATGCATGCCTGTACTTTTTACCGGCCACATATCTATAAGCTGTGCATACTCTTGTTTTCATCCAAATATCCATTTCCAATTGAAGATCCTAATATCCATGGGGTTTCGAAGTAATATGCTAATATGTTGTTGGTTGAATGTTAAAAGAAAATCTAGCATATTGAAGATCCTTGGGGGATTAGTTGCATCTACTTCTTCCTAATTATTATGGTATTATGTCAGTGTCTTAGCGAGTTCTTTTATGTATTTCCTTTCCAGCTTCCTGTGTGGTACTTGCCTTGGTTATCACTAACCTAAGGAATAGGATAAGAACTCTTTGTCTGGAGTCTTGACTTCGAGGATCATGATTTTGTTATTGTGATGAGGTTCTTTCATGGTTCATTTGCTTGAATTGGAATGTCATACAAGTCTATTTGTTTTCTGTAGCTATTGGAAACTATTTGGTTGACTGTTTAGTGATTGGAAGAATGGGTGTATCTGGACTAGGTAAACAGCCAATCCCCCATTGTTATATCTGCCAGTCTTGTCTTGAGTTTCAATGCTTTTAGTTCCTGGTGCAGGAATTTTTTCTTCAATCACTATCTATGTGGTAAGAGAGGATGAGAAGGTAGAAAGGTAGAGATCTTATGTGCGTTGAAATTTGATAGTGATGAAGGGTGAATATAACCTATTAAACTTGTCTGGTTTATCTTGTTTTCACCATTTCCTATTGTTGATCATAGGACATATGTTGGGTTAATTGTTATATTTAGAGGTGACAAAAAGTCATTTGCCTAAGGGCTATTTGTAATTGTCTGACTGTATTATAAGATGCATGGTTCATTGCATAGTTTGTGTATGATGCATATATGGACTGAACATTCTATTAAAGTCATCTATCTAATTTCACTTGGCAGGCAGTGGTAGTGAGTATTGATCCTCACAGAGTTTACGTAAAGAATCCCAATGATGTGCAATTCAAGACTGTAAAGGTGTCAAATCTAGGTAATGATCTGTTTTTCCTTCTCTTTCCTTTCCATTTCTAAGCGGACTGCCTAGTTTAAGATGATGGGAATGTATATTGAATATCCATTGTTAAATTGGTATATTGATCGATCTACCAAAAGTAATACAGGTATATGGTCCTCGTTGAGTCTAATCCTGAAGAATTAGCCCTTTCGATTATCCAAGTATAAATTCCCAATTTACTTTGTTGGCTTCTATTATGATTTTCTCCTTTTCAATTGATGAAATATATATTCATTTTTCATGATATGATATGGCCAGTGCTATACAGCATTAGGGAGATGTTTTGGGATGTAATAGACACTTTGAATCATGAATTGTTCATTCTTTGTGTATTTGAAAAAACAAATTTCAGGTCCGAATGGAGAAGAATATGCCTGGTACCAGTGTACGGTAAGCTCTGTTTTCTCCTCTCTTTATTTTCTAAATTTTATTTTCTAAACACACTTGTCTGTATAGGATTTTTGACTGATTGTTTCTTCAGTTGAACATTTTCCCAATTGGTTATTGACGCTGTCCAGTAAAAAGTTGACCGACCATGAAATGCAAGATCTATTTTTAGTGACCCCTGTAGTAGAGAAAAGGGAATGCAAGATGTACAGTAGAACCATTGCAATCTACCATGATTTAGTTTAGTTATGTAGATTGTAGAGTTTGACCAAAGTCAAAATGATAGAGGGTATCTTCCATGATCTAAAAATGTTACAAGAACTGTCCGGCATGAAGTATATCTTGCCTGAGAGGTATTGCTATCAATATCATCCTCATCATCATTGTTGTCAGATAGCTTGATATAAAGTAGAAACCTAGCCGTGGCAATTTATTACTTAGTTAATGTAAATTTTAGAGTTTCACAGGAGTTCAAATGATATTCAGGGGACTTCAGTGATTAGAAATGCTACTAAAAAATTAAAAATGTTGCCATTAATTGTTTCTTATGATAAAAATATTCTTGCATCTAGTTAGTGTTGTAAAACACACACACTCACACTGATTTGAACAGAATAGGATGAGGAAGAAGAAACAGAATCAGAGAGTGAGAGGTGAAGGGGGAGCGAAAACAGAGGGGAGAGATGACAGAAAACAGAGAAAGTGGGGGAAGAGGAGAGGAACGCAGAACTGATAGAGAGGGGGAGTAGAAGGAGAGAGACGCAGAGTTGAGAGACATTCACATAACTCAACAATTCATTCATTCAAAATCTAAGAACTCCCTTACATGTGCTGCATGGTGGCTTTTTATAGAAGCCACAATTAAGGTTTCCTTCTTATGAAGGAAACATAAAATAAAATAAAATAAAATAAAATAAAATATAAGCTTGAGATTTCCTTCCCTATAAGGAAACATCTACTTGCAGCTCATTTAATACATGAAGTGATATAACAGCCCACTTGCTAAATAGAGTAAAATCAGAAAGTAATAAAATATAAAATTAAGATAGATTTCCTCTTATAGCAAGCTTCTTCAAAATATATTAATTTCTATATTTCATCATTTCTCCCCTGCTTGATGGAACTCTCCTCTGGAGAATTAAAAAAAAGTTGAGATAACTCCACTAGAGCGTGAGGTAAGGAACCGTTCCAAGTAGCAATTAATCTGGAGATCCTTTCCAACATACAAGGTAGTGGGAAATGAGACTGTGTGGAAAGTAGGCAATATGATCATAATGATTTGGAAAACCTTCCTGATGAACAAGGTAGCTGTAGAAATTGTTATCAAATGGGAAAATAACATGTTCTTTTATAACCAAAACAGCTTTTGCAGTAAATGATATAGCACATGGATGATTAGAAGTAGGAATCTGACAAAGTTGAACACTCTTGTCAAGACCCCTAACTGGCTTCCACTCACAAGTCTCTATGGCCTCTAAGTGATGATCTTTAGTCAACAATTTGAAGCCTTGATTCACTTTAAGACTAATGCCCACAATTTTTATAGAGATTTCTTCTGACTCAAATTCTTTCTCTTGCTTCATAGTAACATCTATGTCACTTCCATTTATTGACTTGAGCTCTTTCATAGGAATGCTTTCACTCCCAATTACAGGACCATGAATGCTATTAGTATCCCCTTTTGGTATAACTGATATAGGTGTAGCCTTTTTGAACCATTCTCTTGTGCCTTGAAAATATCTTAATTTTGTCTTGAAAAAGTTATCTCCTTCCCCCTTTGATGGCTAACACATTTGAGAGCCCTCAAAGCTTCATCAAACTTAGTATTCATGTACTCCTTCAACTCTTGAATTTTGTGATCCACGCATTGCTTGAGTCCTTTCAGATTCCTCAAGATGACTTTTAAGAATTTTGGACATGATGAACAAAAACTAAAATTCCATAAAGGATTTCTTGCACATAAGATAGGCTAGCAAGCTGCAAAAGCCACAAAAGATGAAATTTTACCCCGAATAAAACTTTGAATGATGATTCAGGGCTTTTAGGTTGATCAGAACTGAAGAAACTCCTTGAAAACACCAAAAATGCTGAAATTCAGATTTTTGGAGACGCTGTACGGACGGTGCTTGAAGACCATGTGCAGGGACTCCTCCGGCGCGTGAAGGCACATTCAAGCAGCTGACGGAGGTGGGCTTTCTGGTTTTGACTGGATTTCCCCTCTTGAGCGCAATGGTGTTGTCCATTTTGGGATCTGATGTTGGGAATTGTGGCTCTAGGCTCTGGCACTGTGAAACAGAGTATGCTGAGCTTCCCAGTGAGTTTTCTCCAATCTTTTGGCAGCGGAAACAGCCTAGGAGCGTTCAGAGCCTTGCTCTGATACCAAATTGATATAAAACACACACTCACATTGATTTGAACAGAATAGGATGAGGAAGAAGAAACAGAATCAGAGAGTGAGAGGTGAAGGGGGAGCAAAAACAGAGGGGAGAGATGACAGAAAACAGAGAAAGTGGGGGAAGAGGAGAAGAATGCAAAACTAGAGAGGAGGAGTAGAAGGAAAGAGACGCAGAGTTGAGAGACATTCACATAGCTCAGCAATTCATTCATTCAAAATCTAAGAACTCCCTTACATGTGCTGCAAGGTGGCTTTTTATAGAAGCCACAATTAAGGTTTCCTTCTTATGAAGGAAACATAAAAAAAAAAAGAAATAAAATATAAGCTTGAGGTTTCCTTCCCTATAAGGAAACATCTACTTGCAGCTCATTTAATACATGAAGTGATATAACAGCCCACTTGCTAAATAGAGTAAAACCAGAAAGTAATAAAATATAAAATTAAGATGGATTTCCTCTTATAGCAGGCTTCTTCAAAATATTAGTTCCTATATTTCATCAGTTAGCCATCGATTCTGTTTAATTGTTCCTGTCCTATGTTGATCTTTACTTATAAAAGGAGAAACATAATCTCAATCGTTCTCTTCAATGATGCATTTTTTTGCTTTCCTGCAAAGTTGTGCAAGTTAGAGATGCTGGTTATATCAGGAAAGTATCAAGAATTCAGGATGAAATCCCTTTACTGCTTGCTTTCTGAGGTGGTTTCTTCTTTTTCTAAGGTTAATGGGGGACGAGAAGGCCGACCAATTGGGGCTTACGAGCTATCAAAAGCAGTTGAAGAACTTGGTGCTGGAGAAATACTACTTAACTGCATTGACTGTGATGGTAATATACTATTTTTTTCTAGACTATTCTAAAAAGGATATATATTTTAATCATGAGTTTTTTTTTTTTGTTAATGATTTTATTTGTTTGAAATGTTGACTGCTGTCAAGATCACTGGTTCATCAATAATAATCAATAATCAAATAATAATAATAATAAGGGTTTAGGTGCAAAAATACCCATAAATTTTTTTTCCAAGAGCTTTTGGTATCCTTAAATCAACAATAATACATAGGTGCTTATTAACTTTATAAAAGAGGCCAATCTTCCTTAATCTATTAAATTCTATCCTTTGAATTTAATGGCCAATGTCAGACTATTTAAATGGATTGGGGGAGATTAGCTTCGTTTATAAAATTAATAGGTACTCATGCACCATTTTTGACTTGAGGATACCAGGAGAAACCTTAACCTTAATAATAATAATAATTATAATAATATAATAGTGTACTCCCTCTAGTTTTATTTATAAGAGAAACTATCACTTTTAGTTTGTTTTTCTATATAAGCAAAATCACATTTTTTTAATAAGCATTTATTGCAAACTTTTTAAATCACCCTCATAATTTTATCATTAATAGTCATAAGAAGCAATTAATAAAGACTTAATTAACACAATCAATAAAGAGTATTGTAGTCCAATTTTTTTATTTTCAAACACAATTAATATAGTTAATTAATTTTTTTAAATTGTGTGATACAGTTTTTTTTTCCCCTGTAAATAGAAATGGAGGGAGCAGTAATAATAGTAGTAACAGTAATTGTAGTTCCAATTTAATGGCGTTTTTATGTGTCATTTTGAGATGACAAATGGAAAGAGATAACTGTTTCACTTGCTTTTGTCTAGTTTCTCAAATCTTTAGTAAGGATCATCCTTCGGTCTTCCTGGTAAAGGATATTATAAAAGTATCTAGTTTCTGAGACCAGTCTGAGGCAGAATTATATGTCAATTTCACTTGAATATTGCATTGGTTTCTTACATGGCTACATCTATTCTAACTTTCTATTTTCCATTATTGAAATTTCAGGTCAAGGGAAAGGATATGATATAGATTTAGTTAAGTTAATTTCAGATGCTGTAAGTATCCCTGTGATTGCAAGTAGCGGTGCTGGTGCTGTTGATCACTTTTCTGAAGTGTTTACCAAAACAAATGCATCTGCTGCACTTGCTGCTGGCATTTTTCATAGAAAAGAGGTAAAAACATTCGTTTGATCGGCTTCTTTCCTAATGCTATTGGGAATTATTGTCATCGTGTGCACTGCTAATAAACCCAATTCAATTCTACATATATCACATCCAACGTGTGGATTAACTTGATAAATAATCTCAAATTAGTGGTAAATTTAAGCTTTTAATGTTCAAAGGTTAACCTTAAAGCTATCTAATTGAACCAGTAAAATGTGACTAAAGATAGTGATTCTGTTTTCTGTTAGTTTTGCTGCTTAAAATATTGGATTAAGCTGCAAAAATACCCAAAAGCTTTTTATTCAAGAGCTTTTGGTATCATTAATTCAACAATAGTGCATGAGTCCATTAACTTTATAAAAGACCAACATTCCCCAATCTGTAAGGTTCTATCTTTAGAACTTAACAATCAATATTAGGCTATTTTAATGGATTGGGGAATTGCGGCATCTCTTATGAAATTAATGGGTACTAGAACTTTCTGGATATTAGAATCATTGTTGACTTAAGGATATTAAAAGTCACTAGAGAAAAGTTTTTTTGGTGTTTGTGTACCTTAACCCTAAAATATTTGGTTGGAGATTCATTGATTTGATATTTTTCAGGTGCCTATTCAGTCCGTAAAGGAGTACTTGTTGAAGGAAAATATTGAAGTCCGAATCTAATATCCTGCTTGCTGACAAATTTTGAGATGTATTTTGTCAGGGCAAATAGATTAGTCAGTCAGGATATTTAAATGAAGCTGCTTGTTATGGAAGGAAACCTAGAACTGTTTTGTAGGAAATACCAAACTTCAACCTTTCATGTAAATTTAGTGTATTTTTTTAGCCGAGTAAAATTAATGTATTAATTTCCAAGTAACTTGAATTATTTTTGTCTGATGTATTGTTTCTGAATTTGGAGCCACCTCGGAGGTCTGTTTGCCCATGTACTGTTTGTATATTGTGATGAGACTAAACCTTACTGCATGCTGAGTTGCTGCAACTCTAGTTTGAAATAAATGGATTGTATTTAGGCTTTGATTATGTCCATTTTCTTCCTTATACCTCTGCAGATTTCCTTCTGCATAATGCTCTGAAAATGAACCCCTTCTCCATGGTTTGATTACAAGAAGGGAAAATGGTTATATGACCTAAGGAAAATAAAAAATCTAAAATATCTACTGGCTGATATACATCTATTATAAAATACAAATTACATTACTGAATAAAAAAAGGTAAATGAGCAAATTTCTTTTTAAATTTTTGTGCAATATTTTTCAGTAATGTTTAAAAATAGTGCAATTTGACTTTTGCCATTAGGAAAATTGAATTTGGATAAAACACATTTAACTCTCCTAAACTTTAAGTCAATGGCATATAACTCCCTCAATTTTAAAAATATAAAAATGACACCTGAAATTTTTAAACATTGTTCATTAATCTTTTTATTGTTAAAATAAATGTTAAATTTAATGGAAAATGTCACCTCAGACTAAATAAGAACAGTTAGACAAATGACAGAATTTTAATTTCAATATTCTTGTCCCATCTTTAAATGCATAGATCCAATTTAAATTGTGATTTTTCATATCAATTTCAAACAAAATTATATCCTTGACAAAAATAGCATCACATTTCAAAACAATTTCATGGGGAATGAATAGAAAAAAACAACATTCACGAAGAGTCATGGATAGATGAAAATCTTGGCTTCCGGTGAACAGAAATTCCCCCCAACAAAAGCAAGAAACTGAGCCTGGAAAAGAACATGCCATGGACCCTGTGCCTCAATTCACAAGCCCCGATTACAAGCCATCAAACAAGCTTCTAGTATATATAATAATTCTCATGAGTTTGCAAAGAATTTCAAAGGGAGTAACACTGTACTGGTTTATTTTGCTGAGAAGAGATTGATGAGAAGAGGAACACGTTCGCTGATTTCTTCAAGGCCAATTGACAAAATCAACATCCTTTAATCTTGTATAAAAATAAAATATTCAAAATTCCAAATCATTTGCTGTTTGAGGTGTAATTTCCGTTAAATTTAACAGCTATTTTAATGGTAAAAAGTTAATGAACAAAATTTAAAATTTCAAGGTGTTATTTTTATGTTTTTAAAGTTATGGGGTTATATGAAATTGATCTAAAGTTTAGGAGAATTATATATATTTTAGCCTATAATTTTGACTGTTAATTAATTAAAAAATTATAGAAAGGATCAAAAAAAAATTCTTAGTCTTTTTCTGTAATCTTTTGGGTCCTTTGTTGCAATTTATTATGTTTTTTCTATTATTTTTTATCAATTAATAGTTAAAATTAACTTTTGTTAATGACAATATCAGATTGCATCATTTTTAAAAATTGAAGAACAATATTGTACAAAAAATAAGTTTAGAGTCTCAAACATTTATAAATCTATATAGTTCATAGACTAATTTGCTCATTTACCCAATAAAAAATTATATTTCTTTTATATCAAAAATTGTATCCTTTTTAAATGTTAAGAGGGAACATTACATTATAAAAAAAAATTAGAATATCATATGCTCTTACATGAATATTTGAGGGGTAAAATGTCATGTAACTCTCGGCTACTTGCCATATATGTATGTATGTAAATGTTGGGTTTTTTTTTTTTGCCCCTAAATAGCCTAACTTAATGAGTCATAAGCTGAATACAATGGCTATTTAACTTTGTAATAAGTAAAATCTAACTAAAGGGATAGTTTGGGGAAAAAAGTAACGAGGGGAATAAAGAAAATTGTGATCTTTTATTTAGAATTAAAATAAACTTCTAACTAGCTTTGTATTTAGGAATGGAGAAAGTTCTAGATTAGTTGGTTCAATTAGAAAACCAATGAACCAGTATTTGATTCAAGAATTAATGGAAAACCAATGAACTGCTATAAAATATAGATGATATGAAAAGTTAGAAAAAAACAAGACAAGATAAGAAATGAGGGAAAAAAATAATGGAGGAGAATTCTTATTCATTTAGATTCATATACTTTAGACTTGACATTTATTTATAGGTCTTCAACCATTCAAGTCTATCCTAATATTAAAAAGATATAAAGAGGCATATAATGATGCATTATATAGCCTTTAAAGGTTATAGGCTATTAATTATAAGAAACTCTTTTTTAAGTTATTCATTAGGACATTAAGAATAAAAGAATCCTAACAGTTATGAGTTATGACATCCATGACATAATATTATAACATTCCCTCTTGGATGTCCATAATAAATATTGTGCCTCATTAAAACCTTACTAGGAAAATCTAATGGAGTAAAAACCTAGTGAAGAGAATACACAATATTTTTTAAACGCTAGTCAAAGTTGTCTCATTAAAATAAATACTTTAAAAAAAAAACCCAATGGGACAAAACATTGGAAAGGAAAGAAGAGTACAACATAATACTTACTTCCCATAGTGTCCCCCTAATAACAATATTACTTCACTCTCCCTAGTGACTATGGGCTTGTTTGAAAACCTGTTCTGAGAACAGTTTTCTATTTTTTAGAACAAAAGAACAAAAAAATCTGTTTAATAACGTATTTTCAAAAAGTATTTTGGAGAACAGAAAAATAGAAACAACTTTTAGGTGTTCTGTGATTATTATTCTGGAGAACAAGGGAGAATAAAAAAACACATATTTTTATTATTTTTTATTCTCAAAACATGTTCTACAAAACATCAATTCTCAGAACAATAAAAAAAAACAGTTTCAAATAGCCCTTATGACTTTATGTCTCTAAATCTATGCATTCCAACATCATACACTAACTTCTCAAATGTCTAAGTTGGTAATATCTTAGAAAACAAATTTACAAGATTGTTACATGAGCGAATTTGATGAATATCTATATCACCGCTCTTCAAAAAGTCAAGAATGATTTTTTTTTGAGAAATATGTTTTGTTCTATCTTCTTTAATGTATTTTTCTTTCAATTGAGTTATGCATGCTATTTTATCTTTATATAATATTGTTAGAATTTTTTTCCAACAATAAACCACACATCTTTTGGATATAATGGATCATTGACCTTAACGAAACACACTCTCTACCTGTCTCTTGACTTCCAATTATTTCTACATTATTTAATAATGTAGCAGCTAAAGTTTGTTTTGTTAAACGCCACAATATTGTTATAACACTACAAGTAAACAATTGAAATCCTACATCTATATAATCAATAATTTGTTATCCAAATTCATTTGAAAAAAATAATTTCATATGAGTTGTCCCTCAAAGATATTGAAATAAGTGTTTAATTTCATTCCAATGTCTTTTTGTTAGGGAAGAACTAAATCTTGCTAATAAATTTATAACAAATGCAATATCAGGTCATATTAAATTAGTAAGATGCATTAGTACACCTATAGCACTAAGATACAATATTTCAATGTCAAAAAGTTTTTCGTCTTTCTCTTGAGGGCGAAAAAGATCTTTTTTCCCATCAAGAGATATTACAACTATTGTAGTAGTCAACGATGTGCTTTGTTCATATAAAATTGCTTCAATATTTTTTCAATGTAAGTTGATTGATGAAGAAAAATTTCATTTGCTAAGTGCTAGATTTGAAAACTAAGGAAAAATTTTTTTCTGCCAAGATCTTTAATTTCTAAGTCTTTCTTTAAGCAATCAACTACTTTTTGGAGCCCTTTAGAAGTTTTAATTATATTCAAATCATCAAAATAGATAGCAATTATAATAAACTTTGACCTATTTCTCTTTATAAAAACACATGAAGAGATTGGATTATTTTTATAACTTTCATTTAGCAAATATTCACTAAGATGATTATACTACATTCTTCCATATTGTTTCAGCCTATATAAAGATTTATGCAAATGAATTGCATTTTTTTTTTTTGAGAATTTGTACATGCTTCTAGTAACTTGAATCCTTTAGAGATTTTCATATAAATTTCTATATCTAAGGAGTCATATAAATGGGCTATAATAACATCCATTAGGCGCATATCAAGTTTTCTATTTATTGCTAGGCTAATCAGATATCTTAAAATGATTGCATCTACCATAAGAGAATATGTCTCTTCATAATTAATACCAAATTTTTGCCAAAATCCTTGTACTACTAGTCACGCTTTATATCTAATGACTTTATTTTTTTCTCATTTTGTTTTTGCACACACATCTATCTATATCCAATTGGCTCTAACTATTAGGTATTCAAACTATAATTTCAACAACTTCAAATGTGAATTTAACTTTGCTTGAATTGTATCTATCCATTTTGGCCATTACTTCTATGTCTACATTCTTCAATTGATTTCAATTCTAAATCCTCATTTTGATTTATTATTTCCACAGCAACAATATATGAGAATATGTCGTCAACAACTATATTTTTTTGGTTCCATCTTTTTTTCGTAGTTATATAACTTATTGAGATTTTTTTATTATCTTATAGTACCGAGACCTATTCTAGGGTCTTTTGGTTTGTTATGTCTCCATAGTCTTTTTGTAACACCCTCCAAAAAAATAACACAACAAAAACAACAACAACAACAATATATTTACTATGAAAAATGTATATAGGATTCCTCTAGGAATTTTGAAAAATTCACATGTTATCTTGTATTTTGTGGAATATTAAAATGCTAAGTATTTAATTCTCATGTTTTGGTTTTTTTAAAAAAAAAAGATGGGTTGAGTTAAACGTAATTTAGTAATCCTAGTGCATTGCTAAATCATATTAGGGGAAAAAAAAAATTCCACCTCTTACACATCTACAATATATGTGGGCATCCGTACCTACTCTATAATAGGTGATTATTGTTTTATAAATATAATATTGTAGTGATGTATTTATTATATTATATACTGATGTGTATATTATCACTAAGAATATATATATATATATATTTTAGGTGTCATTACCTACAATGTAGCTGCAAATAGACTGTGTTGCATATATCAATATAATAAATTTATTTATTATAGTTCCTTTTATAAATTATTACTATTTACAACTTCAGATATTAATGACTTTTAATAATAAAGTTATAT